AGTCTCTATCCCGTAGGGTCGCTATGAGTCTCTATCCCGTAGGGTCGCTATGAGTCTCTGTCCCGTAGGGCCGCTATCAGTCTCTACCCCGTAGGGTCGCTCTGAGTCTCTATCCCGTAGGGTCGCTCTGAGTCTCTATCCCGTAGGGTCGCTCTCAGTCTCTATCCCGTAGGGTCGCTCTGAGTCTCTGTCCCGTAGGGTCGCTACGAGCTGGAAGCGACTCGACGGCAGCGGGTTTGGTTTCTGGTTTTACGGAGGGCAACACCTATCAAAATCTGTGAAATTCACACAACTCTTTGACCCAGCAATTCTGCCTCTAATAGCGTAACTGCACAGATGGATTATGTAAAAATGAAGTCTACATTGAGATATTTACTGCCAATGTTTTTTCTAATTTTTTTTGCTATCACAATCTAAACGTCACTCAGTAAGAAACTAGCTATATAAGTCACAGCATATGCACACAGACGGAGGTGGCAGATCTGTCAGCACTGATACAGAACAATAAAGAGAGAAGAGAAAAACAGCAACCTGCAAAACACTACGTGGACAGCAAGCTACCGTTTTAAAAAAATAACAGAAAGCTGCATCTACTCATATCGACACAGACTACCTCTGGAAGGAGAGCCCAGAAACTGGGACGCCTGACTGCCTCTGGGGAGAGGAATTCGGTGGCCGGAGAACAGAGGCGGGGGACTTACTCTGCACAGTGGAAACTCTATACTATGTGTACATATTACCTATTCAAAAAATAACTTTAAAATATATATATAATGTTCTCTGATATTACAGTGAAACCACATTGTAACACTATTTTATTGTAGAGAGACATTTAATCTGCTGCAAATCCACTGTGGGCCTCAGCCATCGGAATTTAGTTACTGAAATACAAGAAGGGTGCCCTTCTAAGGTGGCCCCTTTCTAGAAGCTGATCCTATGATCCAAGGCCCAAAAGTATCACTTAGCAAGAACTGCAGTATCCTGAGTACTCACACAACCTACCAGGTCATCACGGGGGACACACAATGCGTAAGGCATTTCCTGCCTTCAAGAAGATCAACATCTAGTAGCTGTGAAAGACAAGTATAGGAACAATTATGTTATCATAGTTACATCACTATGATAATTATACCATAATTATATGGCACTTTACAAGTTAAAAGCATTTTCATAAACCTCCTATTGTGGAAATGTTCAAATACCTATGAAAGTAGAGAGAACAGTATAACAAGCCCCCATGGACTCACTACTCAGTTAAAAGCTTCTATATAGAAAACAAAATTGCTTCTATGCTATGATTAACCAAACCCTTTCCTCTGGAGTCGATTCCAACTCATAGTGACCCTATAGGACAGAACAGAACTACCCCATAGGGTTTCGAAGGAGTAGCTGGTGGATTTGAACTGACGACCTTTTGGTTAGCAGCCAAACGCTTAACCACTGCACCACCAGGGCCCCGTACTATGATTACAACCGCATAAAATTTCTAGTAATGATATAATAGTCTTTGTGTGATAATGGGGAAAATAACTTTGAAGTGCTTTCGTGTATACATCTCATCTGAAGAAGATGCTGTACTATCATTTTAAGTTGAGGGCTCAGAAATCTAAAGTTGCTTGCTCAATGCCATACATCACCAGGAAAAGCCAGTGCTAAGGTCTGAAGACCTGGCTCATAGGTAGTATCCTTGCCCTGTTCACTCTTCACAGGGGACCTTGTGGTCAGATCAGAAAGACAGCAGGCTTCAGAGCTAGACAAACCTGGGTTCAACTCTCACCCTATTTACTATCCACTGTGTGGGTCTGGACAAATCAATTAATTTGCCAATGTTCCTTCATCTATAAGATGGGGAGGAGAACGATCCTATTTTGGACTGTCACTTATTTAGTAAGAAAAGGTGAATAACAAAGAGTTACAGAAGTGAGGAGATAACTTTCTGTGGGGTAAGAAGGAAATCTTCCCCTGGGAGGTGGCGTTTGGGTTACATCCTGAAGGACAGGAAAAGGTGACCAAGTAAATGAGGGGGCAGTTTCCCAGGCTGTAGAAGCATCGTAAACACATATTTGGGATGGTGACTAGTCCAGTTTGGCTACTGACTAAAATACATGTAAAGGTATCTTGTTCACCTCATCATCCCCAGGACCTAGCACAGTACCTGGCACCAAGGGTGAAAAATCCCTTGCTAAATACATGAATGAGAGGTGGAAGATTAACTGGGATTAGAGGGGTTCTTGAAAGGCTGAACTCTCACCCATGAGCTGAAAGCATTTATAATATCAACCTGAAACTTTTCACAGGAAATTAATCACAGTTCACAGAATTAAGAAAGTCAATCAAAAAAAAATACTGTGCACAGGATAAGGGCTAAACAGTTTGTTATACTATAATCATAGCAGCAAGAGTGCTCCTAGGAACTCATAACAACATGTCAGCCTCCACCGACAGACACGGGGTGGCTGTGCATGAGATGCATGGGCTGTGAATCGAACCCGAGTCTCCCGCATGGAAGGTGAGAATTCTACCAGTGAACCGCCACTGCCCCCAGACAGATACTACCTGTTCTTTATTTATTGGTTTTTATAGTCCTAGCATTGCACAGAATCAATCGACTGTTTTTAAATTAATGTAACTCAGAACAAAGAATCATTCTACCCTTTGATTTGCTTTTCCAGCACCTTTTTCATGATAAACTGGTGGCAGGGCAGTTATATAAAAACCCA